GTCACAGAGGGAAGGCTTGGTTGTGGAGGGACAGCAAAGATGGGGCCAGCCTGGCCTCCAGTGGGAGGGAGTTCCACAGTCTGAGAGCAGCCACTGAGAAGGCCCCTCTCCCACCAAATGAACCTATGAGGGTGGTGGGACTGAGAGAAATGCTTCTCCTGCTGTTCGTAATGCTTGAGCAGGCTGACAGAAAAGAAAGACTTTAAAATTGCAAAACTAAAAGAAAAAATAAAATAGGAAGGGGGGGGGAAATCAGCAAAATGGCAGACTTACCTACCGGTAGGTGGTGAAAATCCAAGCATCCTGCAGAAGTATTTCTGCATGGAGCGAACGGCCAACTCGGTGATATTTGGGGTTCAGTGGAAAGGATCAGGGGGGGTTCCTTTCTGAGAAACGAGCGAAGCCCTTTGCACACCTCTGAACTGAAAAAGAAGGAGATCTTGACTCGCATAGTTCAGCCGCACAACACAACCGCAGTAACAAAAGTGGAATTCCAGGCGAAGTGTTCCTTGTAAAAACGAGTAGACATAAAACTGCCAGGACGGGAACAACTTCACATAAATCTATGGCCCCGGCCGAGAGAATATCATTCCGGATCCCCTTCACTCCTTCGAAAGATGTTGTAGATTCAGCGGGTGGTGGCGATTGTCGTTGTGTAGGAAAGCAGGGAAAATTTACAATGTCTGGGACTATTTTGTTTAGAAACATATTAAAGAACACCGTGGGGACAGGGCCTGATGGGGATAAAACTGTTAGGTGCAGCAGTTCATGTAGATAAGAAGCATGTTTTAAATTTATTTTTTGCTTCGAATGCTTTTTTGCCCTCTACTTGTCCTGCTGGTCAGGGAGGGGCAAAGATGGCCGAGGGGGACTTCCAGGTTATCCTTGATCAGGGGCTGGAGAAAACGTAGGACGTTTTTGCAGCCTTGCATGTCTTTCCGTGTAGGAGGGGAAGGGACGTCTTTAGGACTCTCCATGGGCTGGAACCACTGCCAACCCCCTCCGTGGGACGAGTGTTTCCTTGAACTAGAAGGACAGTGGAACTCCTTGCCACCGGATGCGGTGATGGCCTCTGGCCTTGATGCCTTTAAAGGGGGATTGGGCAGATTCCTGGAGGAAAAGCCCATCGCAGGTGACAGGCGACCTCCAAAGGCGAGAAGCCGAGGAGGGGAATCGGGAGACAAGAGATCAAGTGGGCTCGTGTGCTCCCAGAGGCATCTGGTGGGGCCACTGTGAGATACCAGAAGCTGGACTGGATGGGCCCTTGGCCTGATCCAGCCAGGCCCTTCTTCCATCCTAAGGACCTTTAATCCAGCTGGACTCTTTATTTTCTTCCCAATTCAGTTTTCTGACCAGTTTCAAAAGTGCCCATAGACAACCTCTTCCCCAGAGGAGAGTGGGAGGGAAAATGCAGATCCATATCAACCATAGAGGAGCAGGTCTTTTGTAAAGCGAATGGCTCTTAATGACCCACACAAGAGCGAATTGTGCAGTAATCTGACTTTCCCAGTTACGCCGAGGATGCCTTCTAAACTTCGAGGGGGAAAGTAAGGGGAAAGAGGATGATGGAGAATGTTTAGTCCCTACTGTTTAGAAAATCACGGAGCTTTGAATTTGCCAGCCTGGCTCCCATTTCACCCCCCGGTGCACCCTTTCAACCTTAAAAGCCCAGGCTCACCAATAAAGAGCTGATGTGGAGGCTGGGGGGCGCACATCCTTTTTGGTTGCCCTCAGCCTTGGGCCATGGCGCTGCTCATGCGTTCCCCCAGAAAATGTGAAATGGCTCCTGTCTGGCAGTGGCCGGCCACACAAGCTGCCAACTAACTTGGGGAGCGGGATGTGTTTGTGTGTGTGAAGAGCTGCCAGCTGTGCTTCTTTGCATCTCAGCACTGGAAACCACCCCCCCCCCCCCCGGAGAAGCTGAGCTAGGCTCTCTCTGCTGCTCAGCTGTTGTCTTTGCTTTGCCGGTGTTAGGAAATCATCTTTCCGTCTCATTGCTTTTGAAACTGCTTCTGTAGGTGCTAAATAGCCGGCATTAGTTGTAGGGATGCTGATAAAAACCAGCGAATGCATGCAAATGGACATCTTTGCTTCCTATCCTTGTTTCCTACATGCCCCTCCGCTTTCGAGATTAATTTCAGGTATTTTGGCGATGAGCGTAGCGGGTATTAAAAGGATCAGGCAGGCTGGTAGAATCGAGAACAGCATTTTTCTTTTTTTTCAGCTGGATGTGTTCAGACTACAGACCGAAACAGGTCTTCACCTCTGCAGCTGCTTGGATGAGAGGTCCCGTCTTATAGTGCGAAAAATACAGTAATTTCAGGCATTTTGGCGATGAGTATAGCGGGTATTAAAAGGATCGGGCAGGCTGGTAGAATCAAGAACAGCATTTTTTTCTTCACCTCTAGAGCTGCTTGGATGAGAGGTTTGGAGGGTTTCTAGCCATGAAACTCCAAAATCCACAGTTTTATGTCTTTATAAGGCCCGGGCTGAAGGAGGCAAAATAATCTGCAAGCTTTCGGGAGCAACGGAACACTTCATCAGGCTCAAGTTACAGGAAGTCGGATCTCTGTTAAATATCAGGAAAAAACTTCCTGACTGTTAGAGCAGTACGACGATGAAACTCATGACCTCAGAAAGCTAGGCAATATATCTGTTAGATATATCAGGCAAAAATATATCAGGGAAATTAAAATAAAGAAGTCAAAAACGATGTGGCACCTTAAAGACTAGTTGCTATATTTCAATGTGAGCTTTCGTGGACAAGCCCACTTTCTCAGACGTGCTGTGAGATGCTTAGCAGGGACTAGTATAATAATGTGAGATGTGCTTTGACTCCAGCCTTGAGCAGGGGGTTTGTTGCAGTGGTTATAGGCTCCTTCCAACTCCATTGTTTTAGGATTCTACAAAATGGTTAAGCGCACCTTGTCAGCACCTTTTGGTCATTTAAAACGTGAACAATGAACTGGAATAATAGATTCCAGGCAGTCTGGGAAAGTGCGGTGTGGGTAACCTGCTTATAACTGAACAAAGCACGGATTAAGAATTTGTGTGTGCGCGCGTTCAGAATAGATGCCATACGATCCACCTTTTTGGTTTCTGTCTGCCTTGAGTTGTTAATAGACTCCTTTATATTTCTAAGGATCTGGAATGAATCGTTGCCCCTTACATTTCTTACTGTTTATTTGTTTTGTTTTTTTAAAAACTAGCATCAGAATTATCGGCTTCCCGGATCAGACCAAAACCCCTATCTAACACAGCATCCTGTTTCCAGCAAAGGGTGGCTAGATCTTTCTGTTAAATTCACGAGTAGGAAATGAACGTGAGAGCTTTTTCCCCTGTTGCCAGTACCCTTTGATAATTAGACGCATTAGTGCCTTAGCTTACAGAAGATTCTTTTAGCTTGTCAGGGCCGGCAAGGGGAGATGTCTTCCCTAATGTTGGCATATTCTTAGGGAGAGGGTTAAAAAACACACATGCTGAAGATAATAGCCATTATTCAGTGTCTTGGGAAAAACGCCCATCTCTTCCATGAACTGAAGACTTGGGAGTAAAACGTATCCTCACCCGGCTGATCTGTGGAACATACTGCCACAGGATGTAAGGAGTGGTGGCTGCCAGCCGGAGCAGCTTTAAAAGGAGGAGGGGGGCTCAAATCTATAGACAAAATCGCCTTGAGTGATTTTGAATCGTTGAGTTGTGTATCACTTCCAGGACTGGAGGCAGTGGATGTCTCGAAGGAAGATAGGTGAGAGTGTCTTGGTGTTGCTGTCTGTTTGTAGGCGTCTTGGATGGTTTCAGTGGGCTGTCTGCTGAGCAGCTCCCTGGTTTAGGTCTCTGCTTGCAGAACCAGAGGCTGCGAGTTCGATTTCTGCGATGCCTCTTTGACAGGGTCTGGGCGCGATGATTCATATTATTATTAGTATTATCCAAAAACACTGGGCACAGTCAATCAAAACTATACAAACACTGACTGCTGTTATATAACTGATACAAGTTTTTAACCAAAAACTGATGTGTCTGTTAAATATCGGCACGGTATGTATGCTGTTCCTAATATTGCCTTTTTTGTAGCTCAGAGGGTGTGATTTCTGAGATCTACAACTGCTTATAGTACTGTGTGAAATTTCTTGATATTGTTCCCAAAGCCCCGATGACTACGGGGACCACTGAAGTGTGTTTCTTCCACAAGCGATTTGTTTCGATGGCCAAGTCTCTGTACTTTGTTAGTTTTTCCAGTTCTTTATTTTCAACTCTGGCATCCCTGAGAATTGCAATGTCATTGATCCAGATGTTTCTACATTCTATTACTACTATGTCTGGTGTGTTATGTTCAAGGTGTCTGTCCGTTTGAATCTGGAAATCCCACAAGATCTTGACTTCCTCATTTTCTGACACTTTCTCTGTCTGATGTTTTCACGAGTTTTTGGAGGCTGGCAAATTACTTTTTTTTTTTTGGCATAATGACCAGTGCACTAATTTTGCCACTCTTATGTCTAATTGTTGTTATTGTTGTTGTTAAACTCTCCCTAGGTCTGGCCCATCCTGGTTCTCTGTACGTTCTCTCCTGATTCGGTTATTGTCCCAAAATGTTGCTAATGTTACAGATGCTAGAATCAGGCCTCACTGTCCCAAAATGTTGCTAATGTTACAGATGCTGTTACAGTGGTACCTCGCTAGACTATGATAATCCGTTCCACTGAAATCGCTGTTTAGCGAAATCATTGTCTAGCGAAAAGCATTTCCCCACTGGAATGCATTGAAACCTGTTTAATGCGTTCCAATGGGGAAGAGTCGTCGTTGCCTAGCGAAGATTGGCCATTGGGGAGGCTGAAGTCTAGAAAGCCATTTGGAGATCTCTGAAATTCCGTTGACTGGCTTTGCCTCTCCAGTGGGAAAGCTCCTCTGCGTGTATGAGATGGGGGCGTTAGGGTGGAGAGTAGCGGGAATCTATGATTTGGGACAACGTTGTTCATTTATTCTATTTTTAATTTTCCTAGGAACCAACAAGCAAGGCTTTGGTGACCCTCAGAGTTGACCCACAAGGATTTTTCCTCTACTGGACTGGTCCCAGCATGGTAAACATCTGCTTTAAAAAGAGTCTCTCTCTCTCTGTTTCTCTTTCTCTTCTCCCTCCCCGTCAGACTGTGTTTATTTATATACATATTGAAAATAAGTTGGTCGTCTTATCACTTCTGACAGGGACCAATCCCGGAAACTGTTGAATGTTTTCAAGCATCTCCTTTATCTCTGAGGCCAAGCAGCTCTCTGTGCGTGTATGTGGGGGGTGTACAGCAGATACTGTGTGTACATGTGTGTATGCTTAGAAATGTACTTCTAAAAAGTAGCTTGCTCTCACTATTTACAGTGGTGCCTCACTTTATGATTGTCCCGCATTATGACAAAACCGCATTGCGATGACGTTTTTGCGATTGCTTTTGCGACCGCAAAATGATGGTCTGAATAGGGTTTTTTCGCTTTGCGATGATCGATTCCCTGCTTTGGGAACTGATTCTTCGCGAAACGACAATTTTCCAGCAGCTGATCGGCGGTTTCAAAATGGCCACTGGGTAAATAAAATGGCTCCCCGCTGTTTTCTGGAACGGATTCCTCACAAGACAGACACCGACAATGGCTGCCCTAACGCATTGAAGGGGTTTCAATGCGTTTCAATGGGCTTTTTATTTTCGCATTACAATGTTTTCATTCTACAGCGATTTTGCTGGAACGAATTCACGTCGTAATGCGAGGCACCACTGTATTACAGTGTTTGACAAAAAGCCTGTTCTTGTTATTTTATTTTTCTTTCTTTCTTTCTTTCTTTCTTTCTTTCTTTCTTTCTTTCTTTCTTTCTTTCTTTCTTTCTTTCTTTCTTTCTTTCTTTCTTTCTTTGCGTGGAGAGGACCCTTACGATTGGTACGAGAATGTTGTTAAAATTGGGGAAATTGCCAAAAATTCCCCTAAAAGTCTTCAAAACATGCTTAATGACTCGCATTTGAAAGTTAACTCGATGGCTCTGGAGTAGAAGCCGTGTGAATTTGCACCCCATCCCTGTGAGAACGCCAAGGGGATTTGGGACATCTTGAAAGCGAACGGGTTTAATGTATTCGCGAACAGGTTTAATTTGGTTTAAGTGTTCGTAAGCTCGACCTCTCGAAGAAGTGGGCTACATCCACGAAAGCTTATGCCAAATATTTATTTAGCTCATTTTTATATACCACCTCATGAGTTGCAAGTCCTGCTGTAGGTGGTTGAAACTCACAACCCCTCAATATCCCACAATAACTTAAAAAAAAAAAATCAAATGCATTGGTCTTTAACATACCACGTTAAACTAGAACACTTCACTAGCTGTACCAGTTACAAAACTTTGCATTCCTGTGCATTATAATATTTTTGAAACGTATCCTTGTGTTACCCACCAGTTACCCCAAGAAGTAACTAGAAGCAACTACTAGTAACTTCTTTCCTCTAAGTTCTGCTTTGTTTGAATCGTGTTCCATCAAGGGCATGGGTTTAACTTGACTTGGGGTTGCCTTCGGTTGGGCGAGGGGCTCGTGGTCTACAGCGCCTCTGACTGGCAGAGGCTGGAAGTACAGATCTGCGCCAGAGATGACTTCCCAGGGCTGGGCGCCTCTGCCTGCCCCAGGGGAAGGAGTTGATTTATGGCAGGCCCCGGATAGTGGGTGGTTCCCTCTGCTGTCTCTTGTCTGTGCTCTTGAGTTGTTGAGCTGGTCGGACGAGAAATCTGGGGTCGGAGCCAAAGGGTGGGAAGACGAGAGAGATGGAGAGAAGGGAGGGGAGAAGTCGAGAAAGTTGGCCACAACTTTGCAAAATACAAATAAAAACCAGATATAAACGGGGCCTTCCTCCTCCTCCTCTTTCTTCCCAAAGGTTTTCTCCTGCCATTCAGAAACGTCGTTATTTGTCCGCAGTGTTGCTTGATCAATATTTGTGACCGACAATTACTGTACAACTCCCAAAGTTCGTGCTGCTTAAGTTCCCACTGAAATCTAGAAGACAAGCTGGTTGTAATTCTCATGTCGAGTAACCTTCTCTGGATCAGCCTTTTCTTTTCTTTTTTTAAAGTTTTACTTTTGTTTCAAAAAGCTCAGGGTGGTGAGATGCGGTTTATCTCTTAACCGCATCCGTGTGAAGTCACTTTGGCATCGCCTGACGTTCGCACACCGAGCTTAAGGGCTTGAAGCATTGTTTGCCCCAAATTTGGGCCACAGTGAATCTAAAAGCTTCATGGCTTCAGTTGTTACCAAGATACAGGGATGGGAGTTCGAGTTATAGGGGGAAATCGCTGTCGGGTTGACTGAATTCGCACCAGTGACTTGACTCTACCTTTCCCCCCCCAACATGACTCAGATTTGACTTGCAACTTGGAACTCACCCACCAGTCATGCCCTTCTGGGTTTCTCTAGTTTAGGATCCTGCATGGTCCGTGTGTAACAAAATTAAATGGAAATACAGTGATGCCTTACTAGACAGTTACCCCGCATGACAGTTTTTTCGCTAGACACTGACTTTTTGCAATCACTATAGCGATTCGCAAAACAGTGATTCCTATGGGGGAATTTCGCTGGACAATGTTTGGTCCCTGCTTCGCAAACCGATTTTCGCTAGACGACAATTTCGACAGCTCCCTCCGCGCTCTGCGAAACAGGTGTTTTCGGGACCTACGTAAGCTTTGCAAGACAGCTATTTAAAGAGCTGATCGGCAGTTCGCAGAGCAGCTTTCCTATGGCCGATCTTCGCTAGACAACAACGATTCTTCCCCATTGGAACGCATTAAACAGGTTTCAATGCATTCCAATGGGGAAATGCTTTTCGCTAGACGATGATTTCGCTAAACAGCAATTTCAGTGGAACGGATTTTCATCGTCTAGCGAGGCACCACTGTAAAACAAAGAAAAATTAAATAAAAATACGGCGGCACCTTCAAGATTAAGTAGTTTCATTTTGGCACGGTCTTTTGTGGATTTGAAGTGTTATGCATCACAATTTGGGAAAACGAAATCTGTTCATTGATTAAGTGCCGTATTAATTGTTTTAATTTTTTTGGTTTTTTGCCTTTGCTAAATTAGAGAAGACTTTGAATTCTATTTATGTGAGAGACATCAGTGGAAGATCTGAGAAGATCTGGGAAGTGAATTAAAAAGGAAGGGCGTAAACACATTTAAGGGAGTAGGCATTTATTCCTCCAGTAAACTCAAAGCAGTCTATGTAACTCTCTTCCCCCTTTTATTCTTATAGTATTAGGTAGGTCAGGCTGAAAAGTCAGTAACTGGCTCATGGTCACCTAGTGAATTTCATGGCTCCATGAGGACTGGAACCTTGGTCTCTTAAATCCCAGTTGAAATAATAACTGTATTACATTGGTTCTCCTCATTATATGTGTAGAAATGATCCCGTATTTTACAGATAATATATACAGGATTATGATGTGCTGGTTTTTCACTTTTCTAAGGTCCATTATTATTGCTATTTTTGATTAAATGATTTTGAAGGCTTCTAATTTCAACTGCATTTTAATTATACAATTGATTCGAATGCCTTCGGTTTTTATCACATTTTAATATTCTGTCATTTTAAACTGTTCTGCCAGCCACCTGAGGTCCCATAAGTGGCGTACAAATGAAACGAATAACTTATAAACAAGTAAACCATGTAAATGATACAGAATATAAAGCGATCCTTTGGCCCCAAAATGAATTGTGAGGATAATAAATAACGCTGGTACAGTATTTTAAAAGGGATCAGACCCATCAAATATTGGAACCATTTGATACTGGCATAGATGAGTTGATAGCGATAAGTTAGTATACATTTATTTTATCCAGATTTGCACTAGGAAGTTTGGTGGCTCAAATTTTAACAATCTGGTAGTGCTTTTTCTTCTATTTGTTTTGCTAACATGATGTAATGTGGCTTGCATGTTTATTCTTTTATAAACATCTTCCTTTAAAATCTCGAGGGGGCGGTGAGTTGGGGGGGGAATGCAAGTTTCCTTAGGAAGGCTATGAAATCCATGTGAAAAATGCTGTCTGGACCTATATAAAGCCCTATTCTTTACTTGTGGGGCAGCAAGCCCCCCCCCCGGGCATTGTAGCCCCTGGTAAGTGAGAGAGCAATCCGAATAGCTCAGTGGGTTGGAGCTCCTTGGCTGTGGAGCCAGAGGTCAGGAGCCGGCGTTATTTCTTTGAGGAAAAAAAAAGGGGGTGCATCTTGATTTTAATCTTGAAAATTTAGATTTATGCCCTGCCGATGGCGAGGCGGGTCCTTAAACAGAGTCTCTGACCCACGGCCGCCCTTCCTCTGAATCGGGGGCCTTTTTTTCTTTTTAATTCCTCCTTCCCGCCAGCCCTATCCAAAAGGGCAATTTCCTCTCGGTTGAAGGAAAGTCCTCTTTCCTCTCCTCCTTTGCTACCGCACAATTTCCCTGCGGTTAAAGCTCTTTTGCATCTGGCGCCCATCCAGAACAAAACAGTTAGCTTAAGTAGCTGTATATATTGCCTGAGCAGCTGCTCTTTTCTCCCAGGGAACTGGCGTGGGGTGGGGATGCCGGGAATCAAAGCCAAAGCGGGTGGCAAGAAGGCAGGGAAGTGGGGGGTGGCGAAGGCCATCTAGTCTGACCCCGTTATGCCCTTGGTTGCTCCATTATCTTACTAATGTTGAGTCCAAGGATCTTTTTAAAAGCGCCACTCCTTAGCAGGTTTTTTAAAAGTGTTTATCCATAAAGCAGCATTTATAAAACAGTCACTTGCTAGTGCTTGTCTTAAAAGCTGGATTAGGTTCGGACTAAAACCCACATCTGGATTTCTGCCTATATGTTAGACTTGCAAAATTCCATGTAAACTGGCCTTCTGGAAAGGATGCTTGAGAAATCCCAAATGATTCTGTGAGAATTAAGAGTCAGCTGGCTGGCCAGCTCAGGGGTTTAATTAAGTATAAAACAGTCACTTGCTAGTGCTTGTCTTAAAAGCTGGATTAGGTTCGGACTAAAACCCACATCTGGATTTCTGCCTATATGTTAGACTTGCAAAATTCCATGTAAACTGGCCTTCTGGAAAGGATGCTTGAGAAATCCCAAATGATTCTGTGAGAATTAAGAGTCAGCTGGCTGGCCAGCTCAGGGGTTTAAGTATGTAGAACTAGAGGTTGAGAGTTCGATTCCCCCACTGTGCCTCCAGAGAGAAGAGCCAGCCTGGGTAGCCTTGGGCAAGCTGCACCATCCCACAGTGCCCCTAGAGGAAGGGAAAGGGAAAGCACTTCTGAATATTCTCTGCCTGGCTGCCATTTTGAACCCGAGTCCAATTCAAGATTGCAAACCTTATTTGTTCATTTCTTTAGTACATCTTGTCTTTGTCCCTTGCAGGACCCAAATCAACCTATAACATGGCTTTGAAAACAGACTCAGTTTTTTAAAAAATTACAATGAATAGCAATATTAAAATGGCAATGTTGATCAAAGTTTCAGTGGTATGGGCTCAAGTTACTTGAAAAACCCATCACACTCCTTTGAGTATACCACATCGTTCAGATGAACTACTGATGTCTTGCTTGTTTGCTTTCCAAAAAAGATTACTGTATTTTTTCCATGTATAAGACTATATTTTTGTCTACAATTTTAGAATAAAAATTGAGGGTCGTCTTATACACGGCAGTAAGCTGAGGAGAGAACAAAAACAAGTGAAGGGGAAAGCAGGATCAAAGCAATCCCGCAGGGCTTTGATCCCTTTCCCCCCTACACTTGCTAAGCCCCATTTAGATTTCTTTCTTTTGGGTTAGAAAAGTGGGCGGTGTCTTATACATGGGAGGTGTCTTATACATGGAAAAACACTGTAATAGCCAGGGAAGCAGGGGGCGTCTTATACATGGAAAAATACTGTAATAGCCAGGGAAGCACAGACGACAGGGCCTTTTCGAGTGGTGGCCCCATGGTTGTAAAGCTCCTTCACTCCCTTCCTATTTCCATGTTTACTGCAACAATTTTTTTCCAGTGTATTTTTTAATTTCAGGGGGTAGGTTAATATAGACTTGAATATGTATTTGCGCAGAGCCAGGATTTTCCACACAGTAGTCCTTGTTAGTCAGATGATGCCATGTTCCTTCTGACATCATCTACTGAAGCATCACATGGATAGTTTCCCTTCAACCCATTGGCTGGAAACCCACTTCCATGGTCTCTTCCCTGCCTTCCCCACATATATTTTCAAAGAGGGGAGTTTCTGGCCCCCCATAAACCAGAGCTTCCCTCACCCCCCAAATCAAGTATTTGGATGCTGTGTGGTGTTTTTAACGCCACTGTGTAAACTGGCTGCTGGATCCTACGAGGGAGCTGACTCTGTTTTTTTGGTTGACTGTTTCACTCCTTTGAACTTCGTTTACCATTTCAGAGGGAAAATGCTCCTCTTTGGAAAGGTGGCATGGAACTTGATTAAATTAATTGCTTAAAAATATACCTTTTTTGGAGTAATGTGTGAGGCATCATAGAATAATCACAGAACAGATTTTGCTCCTCTATATGACAGCCTTTTAGATATTTGAAAAGTGCTATCCTATCACCTGGAAGGACAGATCCTGAAGCTGAGGCGCCAATCCTTTGGCCATCTCATGAGAAGAGAAGACTCCCTGGAAAAGACCCTGATGTTGGGAAAGTGTGAAGGCAAGAGGAGAAGGGGATGACAGAGGACGAGATGGTTGGACAGGGTCACCGAAGCGACCAACGTGAATTTGACACAACTCCGGGAGGCGGTGGAAGACAGGAGGGCCTGCCGTGCTCTGGTCCATGGGGTCACGAAGAGTCGGACACGACTTAACAACTAAACAACAACAACAACAACAATCCTATAACTTCTCAGTCTTCTTTTCTCCAGGCTAAACATGCCCAGTTATTTCCATCTTTCCTCATAAGGCTTTGTCTCCGGCCCCTTGATCATCCTCGTTGCCCTCGTCTGAACGTCTTCCGATTTGTCAGCATCCTTCTTAAAATGTGGTGTCCGGAACTGGACACAATACTCAAGAGGAGGCTTAACCAGTGCTGAATAGAGGGGAACTAGCACCCCAAAGGATTTCGAGACTATATTTTCTGTTAAAGCATCCTAAAATCTCATTGGCCTTTTTTTGCAGCCACATTGCTCTGTTGTGGCCGGAAAAGGGCGTTTTACGGTCCCGCCGACGTGTATAGAAACCCAGCGAAGGGCATGTTCCCCCCTTTTTTTTGTTATAGTCACTGTACGAATAAATAAAGACTGCATCCCCTCTCCATCATTCTGACCAGCTATGGATTCATGGGCCAAATAGAGGAAAAATCTGTGCAGTGGCTTTCTTGCTGCAAGATTAGGTCCCACCCTCCCTTTATAGAAAGTTGAAATTACAAGAAAGACTCTGTACATTAGCTACAAGAAGGCAAACTTCATCCTCGGCGTCTCAAGCCTTAAGTGGGGGGAACGTTAGTTGATCTTAATTGGGGCCGAGCAGCCCCAATTAAGGGGAAATCGTTGTATAAGACAAGGGGAAACGGCTGCCTTCCTGCTCCATTAAAGGGAGAAAATACAACATTACAGTTCCTGCATACAAAGGAGGAAATTGTGTTAATGGGTGGCCTCAAGTGGACGATAATAAATACATATCTACCTTGTTGTTTGTTTGCTTGCTGCATTTCCCCTTAAACTAATTACACAAATGTAAGCTGGCTGAATTATGGGAACTGGCAGGGGGAGAAGCTAAAATTAATCATTCTTTGCTGTGAAGAAGAAAGACCTCGTTATCTACCCTAATTAACGTATTTTCCTGGTTCTCGTTAGGGCACGGGACCTCGGAGAATGCTCAGCGTGAGCTAATAAGGAGCATTTCATGGAAGGTCTCCCTCTCATTCAATCTTTCTCTCTGTTTTCCTACCAGGAAGTGGACATTTTAGACATCAGCTCAATTCGGGATACACGGACGGGACGTTATGCTAAGTTGCCGAAGGTAACCGAGGGTTCTCACGAGCGAAACTCAATGCCGATGATTGGAAAGGGTCGGAGAAAGGCCCCTGGCGGCTGTGGCGGCCAAAGGATTCTGGGAATTGTAGTAGATCCTCCCTGGCCTTCAGCGCTGCCTTGCTCAGAGTTAGCCAACTTGCTCCGTCTGCTCCAGGGATGGAGAACGTGACCGTACAGCCACTCTTCGACTACAACTCCCATGTTTCCTCCATTGTTGGCCACCCTGGCAAAGGCTGGCGGGGGCTGTCCTCCAGCAGCATTAGAAGAGCTGCCTATTTCGGTATTTTAGATCTCCTCCAAGTGGCAGTGATTCCCAAAGGCTTCTCAACATCTCACCTTCTGCCCAGTCCCATTTTAAAGCTGGAGAGGGTGGGGCTTGAACCGGCGATGTTCTGAATGCCCAAGCTGGTGCTTTACCACCGAACCATTTTCCCCCTTCTTTCTTCCCAAAATCTGAGGCTATTGATCAACCGACTTGTACATCTAGCCTGGGGTGGACAGAGTCTGGGCCTGGGGCCCTAGGAGATCACCCCGCTGGGCCTGTATTTCTTGTCTCCA